CTCCAGCTGGGAAGTGAGCTGCAATTTCTTTCTTGTGTCTCACTTGCACACACAGTGTGTTGGTCAATATGGGGATTAGATAGACCAAGGCTAGTGTATTTCCCTTGGAGCTTAAAATGAAATGCCCGATGGGTGTCCATGTGTCTAGCTCTGAGGTTTCAATATCTTCTGACCACAGAAGAATGTTGTGTCAGATGCTTGAGAATGAAAGAAAGTACCCAGGTGTCTTAGTTAGGGTTCTTATTGCTGTGAAAAGACACCATGACTGTGGCAACTCTTATGAAGACATCCTTTAACTGGGGTACCTTGCTTATAGTTTCCCAAGTTCAGACCATTGTCATTATAACAGGAAACATGGCGGCATGTAGGCAGATGTAGTGCTGGAGTAGTTGAAAGTCCTACATCTTGCAGGCAACAGGATGTCAAACCAAAAGTCACAGTGAGGGAAACTTGTGCAAAAGAGACCTCAAGGCCCACCCCTACAGTGACACACTTCCTCTAATAATGGCACACCTTCTAATGGTGCTATTCTCTTTGGGGGCTATTTTCTTTCAAACCACCACACCAGGCACTGAGGGGAACAGTAGAATGTGCTTTACTCTACATCTGTCTTCCACTGCTCTGTTGTGCAGTTGAGCGCAGTGACTCCTTGGTGTGCAGTTGAGTGCAGTGACTCCTTGGTGTGCAGTTGAGTGCAGTGACTCCTTGGTATGCAGTTGAGCACAGTGACTCCTTGGTGTGCAGTTGAGCACAGTGACTCCTTGGTGTGCAGTTGAGCGCAGTGACCCCTTGGCTGTGCAGTAGAGTACAGTGACTCCTTGGCTGTGCAGTAGAGTACAGTGACTTAGTGACTGTATAGTTCAGTGCCACTCAAAGCTAACACAGTTCTGTTGTCAATCACAATGTGTCCATGCACAAGCACCCGTGTGATGTGGTGTCGACCACAGGAAATGTAGAGTTTCCCTTTCGCTGCCCTTCTGTAGTAGGCAGCCTGGCATGTGGAAAAATCAAAGCAAAACAAATACAAGACTTCATAGGCACAAAAAAACCACACGGGTGGGAGCATAGGTCGTAGAGTTAAGAGCTGGGTGAACTGGGAGGCGATGCCTGTGCAGAATGCAAAGCGTAGTTGAGGCCTCCAGACCGAGCTTGGTGGAAGGAAGTCTTTGAAGAAGACTTGGCATTTGGGTAAAGTTTACCATTGTTGGGAAGCAAAAGTGTGTTTAAAAGGTGTTTAAGCTTCTTCTAGGTTGAGCTCAGAGAAGACATGAGGGCCCTAATGTATACAGAGATTGTCCAACAATCTAGAGCTTCTGTGTTTGAATTTCAGCTTTCCTCATAGGTGGTGCAGGACACGCACACCTACCATGTGGTCAAATGACTCCTGTGTATGAAGCAGGAAAGGCTGCTGTAATCTGTAGATACGATGTTCTACAAATGTCAGATTTGAAGAAATGATGTTTAAGGCTGGGTGCTGAGATGCAGCAGATTGGGACCACAGAGTGGACCCTGTGAGGGACAGCTTTCGGACCCCGATTTTCTAGGCACTAATATTAGGAACACACGAGAGTTTGACTTTACCTAGCAAACATTTTCCTAAATCCTGCCGGAAACACTCACTTTACCATTCAGTGCAGGTAAATGCTCCCTGGTGGTCCCAAACACCACACTGCCACCAAAGTGTCACCACATCCACAGATGCCCAAGTTGGTGGCTTTCTGCTAAAACTCCCCAAATGACAACTGTGATAAGATTGGCTCTTTGAGGAGGCAGCTGGAGCTTTCTTCTATCCCCCCCCCCCCCCCCCCCCCCCCCCCGCTTCCTCAGACTCAGCACTTTTCCTTTCTGCTCTGGATAAATTGCAGTTGATTTAAATGTACTGCAGATCCTTGCCATTTTATGGCTGATTGCTTCTGAGTAATAGGAGGACCATGTGTACATGCTTGACTGTGAATATATCTAAGGTGGTTGTGAGCCAATGGCAGAGAAGCAGAGGGCTTTGCTGGCCTTCCACGGCCCTCTCCAACCCTTCCTTTTGATGAGACCAAGGGGTGGATTCTACATCAGTAAGCAGCAGAGGATGATGGGAGGGTCTATCTACCCCGTGCGTCCATTTCTCTGCTTGCAGCTGTACCCTTCCTTCTGAGATGGGCGCCGCTCTGCTCTCACCCCGCTGGGCCCTGCTAGTCTACACAGCGCTGACAAAGTTTCCTCGGGGTTGTTTTCGGTAGAGGGGCTGATTTCACGGTAACCACCATGCACCATGAGACTGCTGCAAATGCTTCAGAATGTCACATTGTCAAAATATCTATATTTCGGGCTCATAAGCCAGACAGCTCGTTTGGCTGCTAAACCCACAAGATGTTCAGCCATTTGTTGTGGTCTAAAAACTTTCCCCCTCACTGGAAGAAAATAATCATCTATTGTTTCATATCATCTTGAGGTTCCTTTCTTGAGTTGTTGTTTTTTTTTTTTCTTCCTAAACATGAGAGGGTAGAAGTCAGGGGCTTCTGATAGGTGCGCTGGGCCTCTTCCTTATTGCCAGTCCTCAGAAAGAAGGCATGTTTCCTTATGAAGAGCAACTCTATATGAAACTAACTTTGCAATATTTGGGAGAATCTCTTCAGCTTTTCAACAGAGCATGAGAAAAAGGGAGAGTGACCTACAGATTTGGAGCATGGGGTGATGGGAATCAGTGCCCGAGACCCTGCTCATGGCTCAATATTATAGCAGGCCGGTATTCACTTGTTTTTATTTCATGGGAACATGGAGTTGATTTCTCCTGTTCTGTGTGTGGAGAACCTCCCCAAAGGCAAGCAGAAGATCACAGCCGGGGCTTCAGGTTGAGCAAGGAGGGGCAGAGGCAGCTGAGGTCTGAACAAAGGACAGTGAATAAGGGTGGCATCTTGAGGAGTAATTTCTAATTTCTGGTGGCGATGATTCATGACCATGGGGAGGTTTGGTCAGTAAAATGACAGCTAGAAGCAAAGGAAAACTCAGAACGGAAAGACTGCACTGGCAGCCTGTGCTGCTTTAAAAATAAATAAATAGAAACGCCCTCCCGTATTGAATGCACGGGAGAATGAGCACCTTGAATCAAAAACTTTTTTTTCTTTTAATTTGGGGATCAAGTCTTCTATTTCCAGCATCCAGTTTCTCCTGTTTTTATATCCTTATATTAATCCTGTTGTTTCGGTGGGAAGGAATTCAAGACTTTCCCTCTTCAGACCTGCAGGAGTAGCTGAGGAGTTGGCTTGCCAGTTTGGCCAGCTCACACCCTGGGCCATGATTTACTCTTAACTGAGCTTCATTAGTGTTTGCCTGGAGGCGAAACCAGTAGGAGAAAAACAAACCACGGAGTCTGATAGGAAGGAATACTCACTATCACCCCATCTATTCCCTAACTTCCCAGGGTTGCAAACAATTAAACTCATGAATGACACTTGGTGTCGGTACCCAGTTCTCTCTCCACTAGAAAGGCGGGGCAGTGAATACCACAGAAAATAAGCCCTGTAGATTCTTCCGCGTTACTGTAAACAATGCTACCCACCATGGTGGTAAGGACTGTTGTGAAGACAGCTGACCCCACACTTGGCAGACCAGACACCTGCTTGAGTGGAGTGGTGTATCTTGGAGGATTCCGTCAGGGACAAGGGTCTCTAGTAAGGGTGTGTCTACTTTGCCACTTGGGAATCGGATGAAGATCCATGGAAATAACACATAGAATTTATTAGAATTCTGGATCTTCCTGCTGGGTTCCCACAGCCGTGTTCAGAGAGAATCTGGTCTCTTTCTTACACTGTGGTGTAAGGACTTTCTGTATTAGGTTGGAGCTGTACCACAGGATCCTGTAGGGCCTTGGGCACATTGCTTAACTCTCTAGGCTCAGTTTCCTCATCAGTAAAGGGAGCATGATAGTGGAACATGTCGTATTGGCCTGATTGGAAAACTCAACAAGATCATTGGGGCACAGTTGTTAGACGAGAACCCGGCATGGAGGACACTAGTTTATAAATACTGTACATAATCCTTTTCCATCCGTAGGGCAATGAGGCATTTGAAGTCGTGGAATTCCACCTTCCTTATGTTGTATCATCTATTGTAGAGTTGGTGTGTTCATCTGTGTTCAATAATTGCTCTCTAATATAGATGATAACGTATGCATGTATACATCTATGAATCATCTGTCATATATTCATACATAATATGTGGTGTGCTGCATGTTCCAATGCTATATATTAAATTATATAATGGGCATTCTATTTATATGTATATCATAATATAATATCATATATAATATATGGTGGGCATTCCATTTATATGTATATCATAATATAATATCATATATAATATATGATGGGCATTCCATTTATATGTATACCATACATATAGTATGGCAAATACTTAAAGTTAGGTGACATTAGAATTCAGATACTTAGGTGACATTAGAATTCAGATACTTAGGTGACATTAGAATTCCCGAGAACAATATCTCGGTTGTTGTGTTGCCAGCCGTGTTTGGACTCAGCTACTGAGTAATGAATGAGTCAGTCACTCTGAAGTGATGAAATTAGGGAAGTAAAGAGAATCGAGGTTTGAATAGATACTTGCTGCTGAATCCAGTTGCCCTCGTAAGAAAGTACTCAAGAATCCTCCAAGGATTGTTTATATTGTGTTCAGATTCCCCTCTTTTGTTAAGCCGATCATGTCTGCTAGAACTGTGGGTGGATCTGTGTGCAGAAATCGCTGGCACTGCGTCCCCACATTTTATGTATCATGTAAATTGGTTTTGAGTTTAAAACTAAGTTGCTCCATAATGTGATGCCCGTATTATCCCAATTCGTGTGGTTAGAATGCATTGCCTTGCGTTTGAAAGCATATTCCACTTTGTGTTTTATTTTGATGTGTTATGTTCTTTTTTAAAGTGACTGTGTTTGCATGTGAATTTCTGTTGACTTTCTTTTGAGCATGACTTACGTTTCATTTTGTGTTTCTTTTAGGTTTTGTTTTGTTTCATAAGATCCCACTGGATGGGTAGCTGAAATAAGGAAAAGACAAAGGAGGGCTGTGGTGCGTGTTGCTTGCCGCCCTCTGAGCTGGTCTCCTGGGACTCCCGTTGCTGATCCCAGGAAGTCCGCTTATTTGGGGGTGTCTGGTGGAAATGGGCGGTTCTCGGAGGATATCTGCAGCCTGCTTGTTGTAAGCTGTGGTTGGGGAACACCAAGGCAAAGGCGGGTCTCAGGCAGCTCAGAAGCAGTGGAAGAATGCACTGAGATTCACCTCTTCTTACAGTAGTTCAAATAGAGAATCCAAGGGAAATCTCATTGGGTCGCGTCTCTCTTCTAAAGGCGCGCTGTTTGACGATACTGGAAACGTGCTGACATCAATTGCTTCTGTTTATTAAAGGTGATTTTCAAGTTTAAAAGCCACGCATCCATCTATCTATCTATCTATCTATCTATCTATCTATCTATCTATCTATCTATCTATCATCTATCTATCTATCTAAAGTCATCGCTAGATCTAAGCGTACACTAAACGTCTAATCTGCCTGTAGCACTTACTTCAGCATTTTCTGTTCTCTAATCCTTACTGACTTCTGTGATTCTACCTGCAACCTCGGGGACTAAACAAGCTAAGGGCGCATATACCTTGCTTTGGGGACTTTGTGGTGTCACTAAAGGGCTCTTTGCTTTGCTGGCAGCAGAGATCCAAACTTTTAGCTTAGGTGTCAGAGCACACAATGCTAACGGTTGCTTAAGCCCATGCTGGCAAAATTCAGGGGCAGCGGCGGCAGCGGCTGCGTGGCCAGGGATGTGAATCTAGATTAAACATGGTCTGAGAGAAACTAACGGCAGACTATATACACGTGAGGGGTTATCATCTTGACCCCTTTCATTGCCTGCTGCGAACCACCTGTCTTTTCGGAGTCTGCCCAGCAAGAAGGCCTCACATCGCATGCTGTTTGCATTACAGTACCGCAGTTTTTCCAGCATGAATAGGCCTGCGAGCAGACAGGCTGGCCCGCTGTGAGCAGGAACACACGGTCTAAGGACAGTCCCCGGGAGCTTGCTGCCCTACTGCTGGGTTTGCCTGGCCAGGAAAGCTCGTCCTGACCCCAGCAGCAAAGAGGCAGCAGGTTACTAATGAATGTGGGCTTTAAAGTGACCGTCCTCAGCGCTGAGAGGGCAGCCTTCTAGCTATCGATTGCTGCTGCCCCCAACTATGCCCACTTTAATTTGACCCCCAGGCCCCTCTCTCATTGACTTTGTCACCACAGTAGGCTTTGTGGGCCCTGCCCCATCTGCACCAGGCAGCAGCTTTGTCCTTTCCCTCCGATACTCCTTTCATTTAGGTCCCCTTCAGAGCCAGTATGGGACATTTCATTTCAAATCCACGCTCAACTCTATCACGCAAGCACACAGAGAACACGCTGACATGAAAACTTATTAGCATTCCCCTTTGCAAAGGTAGTTTATCTTTAAGGATTCGCAGGTTTTTCTTTTAACAACCCCAGCATGTTTGGAAAGGGTTTTGAATGCTTTGTCAGTTTGGTATCAATCTTAATAAAGCCAGAACCCGTTAGGCCCCACTTGATGTAAGACGAATACTGTGGTATTTTACACTACATTGTCGCTGGACTCGGGCCTTTTGCGAGTCTGTGGGTTACAGTATTTGCCTTGGCCATCCATGCCTGTATCTGAAGAGGGCCAGGCGCTCCCACAGGATTTCACGGGCTTTGTCTCCAGGTGCATGCTGGGTCTCAGCACAAGGAGGACTCAGTGTCCTGTGCTTTCCCATGGCCCAGCTTGCCGCCGCTGAGTGACAGCTCCTGCCATGATGAAAATTTCTGCCTTTCCCAAAGGTGTTGACTTACAAAGAGGTCAGCGAATAGCAGAGATCTTGACCCCTGAAAGGAAAATGAAATTAGAACTGCCAGCCAGGCAGGGCCTCCATGTGGCAAACACTCGTATATCGGCCATTTGGCACCAAAACAAAACAAAACAAAAAGCCCCAAACAATAACAAACTTTTAAACTTTTCTGTTGTTCCATGGAGCCATGAGAGGGTGATGGATTATTTGAAGATCGTTTTTTAAGTTTCTCAGATCAGAAAGAAAAAAGGCAATCATTTCAGTGAGCAGCTGGGAGGAATACAGGGTAATTTTTGTTTTAAGCTGTAAAGAAGTGGACAGATAAGGCAACTTAATATCCTAAAGGCCACTTGGCATCTTCCAGGGACTAACAAAAGCAGGTGGCTGTCAGAAAATTGTTTCATATGGTCCCTGTGTTCTTTGCTTCTTCTTTTCTTAACCCCCAAGGGCTACCATCACTAACACAGCCTTTCTTTTCTATACATTTCCTTTATCCTTGGCTTTTTTTTTTTTTGGTCCCCCAGAAGAAATCTGCTCTTTGGGGGAGTCACAATGGTGTGTGTTTTATTTTACAGCATTAGGAAGGGAGAAGGGGCGTTTTTACTGGAGTTAGGTCTGTGGGGCTCTAATTCCTCAGGAGTTAGGGTTTGCAGTGCCAGGCAAATCTCCTACACGCTCACAGTGGTCTAGGTGAGTCCACACCTGCTTGCCCCGGGGGCAATTGTCACCTAGCCCAGCCAACCACGTCCCAGGGAACAGGACCCGAGTTTCCAAGTCTTCTCATTCCCTAAAGAAGATGTGAAACCTGGCTTTTTATGTGAAACTTCACTATTTTTAAAAAGTTGGCTCAGTTATTTTTAAAACATTATGTAGGCCAACAAAGCCTGCCTGTGGGCTGCCAGTTCGCTCCTTCTGTCTTCGACAGAGCCATTGTTCCTCGCTGCACTCACCTCTTCCCTGCCTACCACTGACAGCTGCGCTAAGCAAGCTGTGACATGGACTTCAGCAGCCCAGGGATGCACACCTGTCTGTCACCCTGTGACTCCTACCTAGCTGAGACCTCAGGCCGCTGAACTTGCCGGCTGTTCTCACAGTCGTACCTTCTCACTGTCCTCCAAGGGGGAGACATCTGAGAAAGCCCCTCCCTCTGACTTACCTGACACAAATTCCTTCTCTCCAGCCTCAGGGAGCAGAAGGAGGTGAGAGAATACACACCCCATCTTCATGGCGTCATTAGTGGACTTAATATGGCCCTTGGTCACTGGAAAACAGGCACATCCCCTCTAAAAGATGGGGTCCCACAGCTTGTTGACCCACCGCAGATGGGGTCTCTGAGGCCCTTAGGCAGCTGAGATGGAGTAACAAATGTCTTCTGACACCCCATCTTGGGTTTGCCAACAGCCAACGTACAGACAGTCATAGGCTGGAGAAGGGCTGTCCCTCAGAGGGAAGGAGAGAGGACTTTAGAGAGAATCAGCTCAGGGATTCTCTCTTCCACTTCCCCAGTCTCAGCCCTGCCCCACAGCAAGGAACAACAGCTCATTCTGCTTTGGCCTCCTCACTCTTCTGGCTGCTGAACTAAGCTCAGAATGGCTAGGGTCTTGAAGCCTGTCCTCATAGACCACACTTGCACATGGGGTGCAGAGTTATCAAGGGACGGAGCAATGTGGCTGGGATGCAGTTTCAGGGAACGCTGGGTGTGAGAGGGAACTTGCTCCTGCTACCCCTCCCTGTCTCTAAACTGCCCCCATGGTAAGCTGATTTTATTGGCTGCTTTGCATAATTGTAACACACTCAACTTTTCCTGTTGCAACTAGACTCTCAACCCTGTGCTGACTCTCCCGTCTCCAGGAGGGGGTGATCCACACCTCCACCTGCTTTGGTAGCGCTGTCTAGAGTTCCTCCCTTTGTTCCTGTCTTGTTCTTTCACACTCTAATTGAAACTCACTTCATCTTGTTTCGTCTAGACTCTAGACTCACAGAGAGGGCTCTGTTGAAGGGGAGCGATTCCACATAGCAGGGAGCTCAGGAAGTGGCTGCCTCCAGCTGTGTGGGCTGTACCAGCCTTTGTGCATTATGATGACAAAGCTCCTGGGATCCTGGAGCTCAGAAGATCTGACCCCAAGGCGTCTGGTTCAGGAGATGCCATTAAGAGCATTCTGCCCCATCCACATACCCTCAATACTTGGCAATCGGTCAAGTTTACCTAAGGACACCTGGGACAGCTGAGGACTCTCCTGAATCTAAATTGCTTCTGGGGTGAGTGCTGCCAGGTTTAAATCAGACTGACAGAATTTCCAGCCCAGAGAATTATATGACAATTTGTGCTGTAGAGGCATCTTCCCAGGGTGGCTAGCCATTTCCTTGTTCTGGTGTTCGGGAACAAAGGCCTCCTAGCTACCGGGACTTGACTTAAGACCATTCACTCTGCATTAATCTAGACTCTCATCTCAGGGCAGCCAGTGCCGCTGGAGCCACATGGACCCCACCCTACAAGCTATTGTCTGCATTCAAAGTCTTAGTTTTCTTGGGAAGGAAATGTATAAGAAACAAAGAAAAGAACCAGAATTCCCCCGCAACTTACTTAGCAATACATTCAGGAGCTGACTTAGAGATAGCTATGAAGCGGTAGATGACTCCCAAGTCCCAACCCTATCAGGTTCAAATCCATCCGCCGGAATCCAGAGGCAGCCTGGGACTCATTTTCATGCCTGTTTTTTCCCCTATAATATTCTGGGTTTTCAAGGCTCTTTTCCACATTTCCTGTAAACAATGCATCTCACTTTTAAAGATTTTACTCTAAGCTGTTTTAACAGTGTGGCTAAACTATAAATGTACTTGCTGGATCCATCCATTTCTTTAACAAGCCAATAAAGTTTTATAATTCCTCTCCATGTGTCCTGTGTTCTCTGTAGCTCATACCCTGTCTCCTGCCCCCAAACACATATCATCAGCCCTGTGTCACTGGGGTTTTCAGAACTGAAGTATTGGGGGGTGAGAAATGTCACCTAGAATTTTGAGGGCTCCCACCCACTGTGGACTCTGGAACAAGTCATAGCTAGGGAAGGGCTTTGAAAGTTTCCATCAACAAGAATTACACATACAAGAGGCATGGTTGATGATTCTGACATTATTTTCATTGGTTAAAGTGTATTTGGTACAGAGTCTATTAAGAAGTCTTGTGGGATTTTTTCCAACAAAACTTTTATTTTCTTTAGAAAAGACTTGGGTGTTCTGTACCAGCAAGGGGACACACAGTGTCCTGTCAATCACTAAGCAACTAGAGCTCAGACACACAGAGCAACTTGTATGGCATAAGAAGGAGAATACAAGGATGGTGGTGACCATGGAGACACAACCAGATGTGTACTGTCCTGTCTGCCCACACTTTGCGTCCCTGTGTCTTCATTATAGTCTCGTCAGACCTTCCCTTCCCCATATCCCCTTTGGCCACAGATTAAAAATAAGATTTTCATGACTGCATCTTGGGCTTATTTGAGTCTACCACCACTTCTCACCCAGAAGGGATTAGCATCACCATTTCCAACATTGTTTAACTTAGGCTTATTTTACCTTGCAGTCAAAAGGGAGCTCTCCACAGGGTTTAAAGGATGGTGATGATAGTGAAGGGTGTTGCTTTTGCAAATATGAGCCAGACAGTATTCCACACGCTTCCTAGATCTCCTTACAGCTCTATGGTACTTATTCAAACAGTACAGCTTCCATGGTTTAGTGGTCACCCCTCCTGGTCCTGGCAATTGAACAGAGATCATTCTTAACAAAGGTGAATCATCAGGCAGGCTACCCAGTCCCTGAGAAGGTGTCGGCTCTCAGTCTCATGAAGCCCTCAGGTGTTGGTGCCACCCAAGAACCCTTTGCAGGTCTTGCTGTGTGAGTGTGGCCTGGTGGTAAAACTGGTACCTGCTTTGACATTTTTCTCTCATGAGGCAAGTTGTACCAAGAGCTTTCAGTGCCGATCACCTGGGAGGAATCTAGATGCATTTGCATTTTACATCGCAGCCCATGGTGGACTTGCCATCAAGGGCATTTTTCCATCACTCTCCAGCCCTGCTCATCCTCCTACAGGAGTTTCACTGTCTCCCGAGCAACCCCAAGGGAATGCCTCAGCAGGGCTGGGTGTGACGGGAAGGGATGTGAAGGGCATACTCAGCTACCTCCATGGATGGGACCCAGACAGCAGAGCAAAGTGTCACAAAATGCCTGAGCTGCATGCAGCTCTTGGCCTCTGCAGCACAGAGAGGCAGAGCAGCCTCCCAGTGAATGGTCACATGGACACCCCCTTCTGGCAGCCAGGGACTGGGAGAGACTGCCAAGGGCATATGCTAATTTTCCAGTCATTTGGTCAAGCCCATCTCACGCGCCACAAGAACTCAGAGTCTGTGTTTACTGAATTAAAATCTCTGTCCAACCACAAACTAAGGAGCAGTAAGCTTTTTCCTTCCTTCTGATATTTTTATTCTGTTTCCAAGGAGGGAAGGAGAAACATCTCTTGTGTTTATTTTCCACCCTTCTATCTCTTTTTAATAATCCTCATCAAAGTGTAATCTGTTAAATAAAAATGTAGGCTATGCTCTGTGCTATGAAGACGAGGAGTCAGCCTCAGGTGAGTTTGTGCAGCTCCAGCCAACACCCTGGTTTCAGGGGGTAAACACCATTCTACCTTTGGATGGAGACTGGAGCACAACCTCCTAAGATGCTTCAGATTTTCCAGGATTCCATAAACAGGTGCTTCTTTTTGTACTGATGTCAGGGTCCTTGATTTGGGGGAATTCCATCACCTCTCTATTGTCTGCTTCTAGTCACATGGTTAAGTACCTTGTTTAATTCCACACCAGCCTGTGTTGGCTTCCCAGCATTTGACCAGTTGGGATGTCAGCATGTCTTCATAGAGAAGGCTGGATAGACATGCCTGGCACATTCTATGCATGGAAGACCTGCTCTACCAGGAGCAATATACAGGCCTGTAGTGGCTGTTACACTGCTCTGTCCCCAAATGGTCAGCCATTGCTAGAGGTGGTAAAGGCTTTGCCCTGCCATCATTCTCACTTGTCCCTTGTCCCTTTAACTCACGTACACCACTCTACCCAAAGTTGGCTGTGGTTTCTGTCCTACCTGGTCCCACAGCCATTCAGTCCCAAAGAAACACACAGAGATCTACATCAATTATAAACCGGTTGGTTTAGTAGCTCAGGCTTCCTTATTAGCTAATTCTTACATCTTAAATTAGACTATAATGAGATAGGGCTTCTCTGTGTATCTTTGGCTGTCCTGGAACTCACTCTGTAGACCAGGCTGTCCTTGAACTCTCAGAGATCTACCTGCCTCTGCCTTTCAAGTGCTGGGATTAAATGTGTGTGCCACCACACCCAACTACTCTCTCTTTCTTTCTTTCTTTCTTTCTTTCTTTCTTTCTTTCTTTCTTTCTTTCTTTCTTTCTTTTTTTCTTTCTATTTTTTAGGGACTTTATCCTTTTTCTTTTCTGTCTCAAGCCTACATATATTTTTAAACACACTGTAAATCATTTAGAGGTTTTCTCCATCCGAATCTATGTTTACTGTATATCTCTCTTTTTCTGACCACATGAGTCTTTAATTTGCTAAGATTAAAGGCATGGCTTTGACGGCTGAATCCACCCTATTCCTTAGCTTTCTGAGAGTTTAGCCTCATGGCAGAGATACCAGCTGGAATTATGTTTATTGCCACAACTCTATGGAGTTTCAAGGTCAATGCCATCACCAAGAAGCATGCTGTTAGCTATTCATAAACACCATTTAAGTGTTTTGGGACAGGGTCTCTTAAAAGGGCTACAAAGTTTTTAGCTAAAGCTGAGTCAGGAAGCCTCTCTTAATGAGACACACTTGCCTCTAGCAAAGAGAGCAAACCTGAGAAAATGCTGCTACCAAAAAGCCATGCTTAACTCTGTTCTTTTGTGTCTAGAATTATTTCCCAAGCTCTCTCAGGTTTTATGTGGATATAGTCCACATTTGTGCCCTTTGCTGATAGAGGTTTCTGTCCCACTGTGTCTGTGGGGGGTCCTTGAACCTCCCACAGGGCAGAGAACCCTGATTGCTCTTTGGGCTGACGAGGGAGAAGGACTTGATTGGGGGAGGGGGAGGGAAAGGGGAGGCGGCGGTGGGGAAGAGACAGAAATCTTTAATAAATAAATAAAAAAATACAACCCCCCCCCACAGAAGTCTACATTAATTATAAACTGATTGGCCTAGTAGCTCAGGCTTCCTTATTAGCTAGTTCTTACATCTTAAATTAGACTGTAATTCTTGTCTGTGTTTGCCATGTGGCTTGGTACCTTTTTATCAGTGAGGCATTCTCATCTTGCTTCTGCTGCATCTGGGTGATGACTACAGACTCAGCCTTTCCTCTTCCCAGAATTCTCCTGTTTGCCCTATCTATACTTCCTGCCTGGCTACTGGCTTTCATCCTAACTCTGTATAAACTGATATGAAGATCTCTACCCTTTTAACGTAACCCCTCCCATACATGCTTTTATCTTTCTTAAATAATTCCTCTACTTTTAATCTCACTGTCTTTCCATCCAGCACTCACACCTCAAGTCCACTTCTTCATATTTAATTTTTATGCATTAAAAATTTTTAATTGGTTGGATGGAATCATATGGGTGGAGTTTGTGTTTGAGAGAGAAAAGCTCCAGTGAGACCATTTAGGCACACACACATACACACACTCGTGCACACATACACATGTACACACTCGTGCACACACACATCACATGCTCATCCACACACATGCACACACTCACACGCACACTTGTGCACGCATATGCACATGCGCACACACTCATGCACACACATGCACACTCAGGGCTCTTGCATACTTCCAGTCTTCTTTGACTCAATTAGATTTAATAACAGTGTGTAGACCATTCCACTTAATCATCTCCACAGTACTCACTACCCACAATGCTCCCATATAGTTAAAAAATTAAAGTAAAAACCTTCCCATGTTGTATTTTTTTACGTTTTGTTTTTCCTTTTTAAAAAAATAACAAGAAGCTTTGCTGAGAAGAAATTATTATAAATCCCACAAGGTTAGTGTTCTGCTCTGGATTCTAAAATGTAAGGATTGAGTGGATTTCAAATTTGGCAAGCCCTCTGACTTGGCAAACACTCCTGTCCTTATTTATGGCAGCTCGGAAACTTCCACTTCCCAGGGCTTATACATGGTGCTGCTGATTTTGTCTCCCTTTCCTTTCTCCATCTGAGTTATGAAATAACCAGCCTGAAGCCTCCCTTTTAATGTTAACCCTTCGGGGGGGAGGGAGAGGGAAAAAGAGAGAGGAAGAGAGAAGGAGAGGGACAGAGAGACAGATAGCACTGATCTCCGTATTCTTGCTTGCCTTGGCATGAGATAAATTTCACGCAGGAAGCCCACTTTTCTTTCTGTGTCACTCAGCAAATGAAACGTTGGAAACGTTGAGGGTTAGGACGTAGGTGATGACAACTCTCCAGCCTCCACTGTGGTCACAAAGGACCTGTTGATCAGAAGTCCTCTGAGGACTACCCACTCCCCTCCTATATGCAAATTTGAAGACAGAAGACACAGAGCCTCTCTGAGACCTTTCCTAACAGCACGCTCAGGTGATGGGGTCCCCCGCAGTCCCATTCTCTCAGAGAATTATCTGTACTGATAGTCCATCTGTATTTTAATAAAGAAAGCTTGCCTGAACATCAGAGAGTAAAACAGCTGCATTGATCAGCCTTACAGACCAGGTAGTGGTGACACACACCTTTAATCCCAGAAGCCACACTAGTTTGCCTTAGAAACCAGGCGGTAGTGGTGCACGCCTTTAATCCCAGCCCTAGAGAGGATTATAAAATGGGAGGAGACAGC